CAACATGGAGCACGAGAGAAAAAGAACAAAATATGCTAATTAAATGAGTGATCTCCGGGTAAAAGACAAATACTTTTAGAAGGAAATGAGTAAAAGTGAAAACAAAAACAAAGTAAGTGAATTTTATGCTTGAAGGTGAATAATACATGATAATGAAATTACTAGCATTTTCCAACATGTAAAAAAATACATAAACTGTTTTTCTAAATTGTCACAGTTAATATTTATCAATTTTATATCTATAACAGATTTACCTCATATAAAAATCAAAAATTTAAGGGGTGGGTGTGGGTGTGGGTATTGTATATTATTCTCACTCACACCAATGAATAAAAGGAGCTTTGCCTATACTTTTCAACCATATTTACCTTAGACATGTTGCAAATGTGAATGAAGCGTCAATATAATACTCTTGTTTATGCTTATATTCAGTCAATTTTAATATTTAATTCTAAGGCATCACTTGAAATTGAATGACGAAACAACAACGAAAATCGTATATCTCTATATATAATAGTATCTCTTTCATTACCATGATCGTATTTAATTTCATTATCGACTATTGTATTTGAAAGCAATCAAGTTGAATAAATCTAATAAAAATGATAAGACCAGTAAAAAAATCTAAGCAAGATAATAGTGTTACTTTGTGTGCCTACTCCCTATTCAATATTTTTTATGATTCTTTCGATTTATTCGTATCTCGTGCTTCGATAATCGACACAATACTTCGTTTACTATTTCACGGTAAGTTGCCATCGATTTTTTTTCTGTATATTAGTTCCTACTTTTTCTAAAGTTTTTATTTTGTGGAACTATATTAGAAACTCATATCTTGATAAATTACTTTTTCAATAAATATTATTCTTATTTAAAATAGCGTTGAATCAAAAAGTAAAATAAACTACGATGTTACGTATAGTATTATTATTTTTAATCTTATCCGTATCATTATCTACATCTTCAATGTCAATTATTCGAAAAAATCGTATACGTCGACAAGCTGATCCTCAGCATTGTGAGGCTATTGCAGGTTTCGATTGTAAATGTAACTCTTATCGTGTAACATGTACAATTGATCATGAATTACCATCACCCATAAATATTATGAAAAATGAAAAACACAAATATCAATCTGTTGAATTAACTATAGCAGCTCCACGTAATATTCATGTTAATGAACATACATTTGAACCGATTGAAGAATTATATAAATCTGATGGAAATAATTTCGAATTTCGTATTAAATTCGAAAAATTTACTGCACTTCATCTAACATCATCTTCAGTATTTAATCGAGTATTTCCAGATAATTTACCATCAAATTCACGAACACATTTAGTATTAGAAATTTATAATCCTGAAGTAGCACATGAAGATAATCCAAGTCTATTTCAAAATTTACATGCAGAGTCATTAGAATTATATTCATTGTATCCATTTCGTGGTACATTTCAACAATTATTTAAGAATGCTAATATAAAATTTATACGATTAAGTGGTGGTGATATACGTTCGGATGTTTCTGAAACATTTACAGGCAATATCGCTCGTTTAGAATTAGCTAAACAAGCTGGTGCATTATCAGTACAAAATTTTCCTGTTTATCCAGCACATGAATTAACTATTAATGCTTTTTATGTAACTGATTTTAATAGTGATCATCCATCAAATTATGCTAATTTACGTGAATTACGTGTTCATAGTCCAGAACGTATACCAGCAAATGCTTTTCGTCAATTTCCTAATATACATACTTTATCTGTTCAAAGTGATCGAGGCATTGATCCACATGCATTTGATGGTTTAACTCACTTAGAAAAATTAACAATCAAAGATGGAGAAACAAATTTAGACCTTTTCAATAGTTTACCAAATCTTAAAGAATTTAGAGCAAATATAGAAAAATTAGATGAAAATACACAATGTAAATTAATTGAAAAATTAGCTAGTGGACAAGTAGCTATTCAAGCCCTACCAGATGATCGAGACTGTACATGTGTATCAGCTTATTTGGATACAGCTGCTGGACGATTACCATGTAGTCCACAAGGTTGTGAATATTCATCATGTGCTGCAATTAAAAATAATTATAATGCAGATACAGGTACATTTATTCCACCACCAACAATTCGACGTTCCGATGGTACAGATGCTTTACGTGAACGTGAACCACGAGTGTACACTGCACCATATCAAGTTATACCACAAGATAAACAAAAACTGCAAAACGCTATTTCACCACCACAACCAGAACAATCAGAAGATTCATATGAGTACTCATCAAATGTAGTCAACAGTCTGATTGAGAAACCGTATCCAGATTCTTCATCTAAATATGGAAATCCATGGGATGATTCATCAAATAATGGAGCACAAGCAACAACGCAAATAATCGCACAAGATAGCTCGGAAGAGTATCCAACAGAGTCATCTGGTGCAGATATTACACCAATACCACCAAGGAAAGAAATGAGTTTGATACCGATTATAATTATAGGTGCATCAATGATTGGTGCTCTCCTTATTGGTTTAATCATTTTACTTTCACATAAACGACGTGCTGATGGTAGTATCAAAAAAGAATATAGTCCAACAGCAACCACCGAACAAAAAGCATAAACCAGTCCGAACATAAATGCCTTTAAAAATGTGTTTTCACAATTAATTGTCGTCTCATCTTATGTTTTGTCTAATTTTTCCTTTTTTTATTATCAGTGTTCCTCAGCAGTTTAAACAAGAGCAACTATTAATATTATTACTATGATTAACATTCTCCGCTAGTTTGATATATAATCAACATAAATATAACTATACCATATATTACGTGTCGTTGTGTGTGTTTTTTTTTTCTTCTTCTTCAGATTCATTTCTCTCTTTTATTATTACTCATGCAGTAAAATTTTGTGCTTTTTCGTCTCTATATTTCACTCTTGCTTCTTGTTTTATTAAAATAAAAAATAGAACAAATAAATTCATGTTTAACAAATAAAATAAGTTTTCGTTTCTTTTTTTGTATCAGGTAAAGTTCATCGAATCCATAATCGAATAATATGATCTTTAGTTGTATCCCTTGATATAATAGATGTGGATGGTAATTTATGATATAACCAATTGCAAAGACCATCTTCTGGTGATTCGAACCAATTTCTATATATGCCAGCATCATCGTCACATATAACATTTAATGCTTTAAGATTAGGCATATTATTGACAAGATCAATTATTATGTTTGGAGTTGCAACTTTGATAATAAGTGTTTCACATTGAATAGCTAATGATGATTGAAACAGTTGAACACAGTGTTCTTCACAAAAACTGGGTCTTACATTCCAAGGAATATAGAGTGGGCCTCCTCGTAAATCTAGTTGCCGAACTGAAGCACATGTAATTTCCTTCAATGGTATATGTGATTTGAATGGTGACCATGGGCCAAAACTGAGCGAATAAAGAAAAGGTGTTCGATCAAGTAGATATTGTAATTCTGATTGAATATTATCAAGATTTTTTCTCTCATCTACGAAAACGTAGAGCGAATTTAATTGATCAAGATTAGAAACAACTGAGAGAAATTGTTTATTTATTGGAAATGATAATGAAAGTGATCGAATATTATTAAAACGAACACGAGATAGAATCGAATCCGTAAAAGATGAAGATTGATAATATAAATTAATAACTCGATTACATCTTAAATATTCATTATCATATGGACAAGTCGATTTTGTCAAAACACATTCAGTAGAATCATAAAAATCATCAAAAATATAAGGTAAAGTAAAAACATTGACAAAACTAGGTTTATCTTGTTTAGCTGAACTATACCAATGACATCGAATAAACCGTTGATATTCATTAATCCAAAATTCAGTTCGAAATGACTCAATTATTTCATTTAACTGTACCTCTTCATTTTTGTTGTTCGATGGTTCATATTTCATTTGAATATTAATAGTTTTTAATTTAGGTACAGATTTTCTAATCATTTCTTCCCATTGATTTCCATTTATATAATCATCAAATAGAGTGCATGTTAAATAATGTAAGTTAGGCATAGTTTTCAACATGTCATTGAATTTATATATGGCTCCATGAAGTATAATTTCTAATCGAGTAATTGAAAGATTAGGTATTAATAAGCCATAAATTTTATAATTAATCGTGTAATTCATGGAGAGAGATTGAAGATTAGGTATACATTGATATAAAAGATTTATTGCACCTACAGAACAAATAACTTTGCCAATAGTTAAATGTTTAAGTGATGTGTTAATATCAGATTTATTCGGAGAAAAATCTACAAGATCAACTTCAAGTTCCCAATCCATATTCAGATAACAATAGATTAATTTTGATAACTTTGATAGACGATGAATGAAATGTTCTGCATCATCTCTATACATTTTTATTCGATCATTACATGAACGAAAGTGTGTTAGACAAGGAAGATAAGAACATTCAATCATTATTTGATCAAGTAGTTTTTTGGTTCGAACATATGATAATGAAATTGATTGTAAATGAATAAATTGTTTAAGTTTAAAATTGTCACGAGCAAGAAATAATTGAATTTGTCTTGGAGTATGATCATCATTTGAAAGATGAATTGAAGTAATTCGATCGATCAAAGATGAAATATGTTTTTCACAGATATAATCAAAGTTTACTTTTGATATTCGTCGAAAATCGAAATGACTTTTGTTCAATTGTTGATAAAGTAATGCGTTTAAACGTGAGTTTAGATTGAAAAAATATCGCAATAGATCAATAGCGGACAAATAGTCAAATATTTCATATATTTTTTCATTTGGTAATTCTTCAAATATCATTTTCCATTAAACATATTGCACAAATATTATGATGCTTCCTAAGAATAGTCACATTCTACCAGAGAAGAAAAGAAAGGAAAATTTTACTGATTAGTGATAGCGATTCACCTATCATAACCGTTGATCTATAGGTAGCGTTGTAAAAATGAATAACGTATAAACGTTAGTCTTTTTGAAATCTTCGATTACAGCAAATTGATTTCTTGAGATTCCGTAGAGGTAAGTTCATCATGCTGAATCAAATGAAAATCTTGAAAAGGTGGTCTCCACTCATTCGATTCAGCATGATTAACTACCTCTGTGGAATCTTGCGAGGTCAATTTACTGTAGATTGATAGAAAGAATTTGTCCTATTGATTATGGACATCTTACAAGTGAAAACTTAATGAAAAATAGATGCAGAGTATCGTTTTTACAATCTCTGTGAAAAACTCACCTATTTGGTCAATTGTTTATCCACAAAAAAAGTAGGTACAATCAATCTATTCATTCTCAGCCAAAAGCTCAAACGAAAATGTTTGGATTGCAGATCCTTCGTCTAAAAAAAACAAAGTTTCTTGCCTAACTAAACCCAGTTTTCATAAAAATATATGTTCAAGTAATCTATGCAAGTATGTCATGAAATTATTGATGAAAATTCTACAGATAGCCCTGGTAAAAATACTGGAGAGTGTAGGTGTTGTTAAGAAACAGGGATCCACATCCATCCTCTAGAAATGGAAACAGCTTCAGATTTATATCACAATGCCTCACAAAAATATAGGTCAAAAATAATTAATTTGTCCGTTCTAATTTCTATGTCACGATATATTTGAATTCCTAGTTTATTGTTTGAAAGAGCATGCTTCGAAGTAATGCATGACAAACCTTTTTGTTTTTGATACTATTTCACTGGAAAAAACGATCACAAGTTTAATGACCTAAAAAAAGTTCATAAAAATGAGTACATCTATATATATATATAATAAAAGATTTTGTCACATTCTGTATATCGGTATGTGTTTTCTCAGTCCAGAAAGTTGAAAAAGATGAAATGAATCTTGAGAGAAAACATTGATAATGATTTTTGATTGTTTTTTTTTACAAAAAGATCTATTTTTCGAGTAATGCGTAATAAAAATCCTTTGAGGACAATATTTTTGATTAATATTCGGATGTTAAATAGATAACGCTTAATGATTTCATTTAATTTAAAGAAAAGAATTAGTTATTCTATTTATTATTTGATGCATTAATTACCCTGTTAGATGAATTATATTTATATATATAGAGAAAATAAAAAATTTCATTTTTCTACATTTTCTAAGTTGAGTGCTATGTGAGGCTGTTTAATTTATTTTCGCAGTGACACTGTGCTCTGAAAGTCTAATCTATATTTCAATTCGAAATTAAGCAACTCATGATTGCCATTGCGATTTTATTCACTCTTCTCTGTTGATATTTCGGAGTCGATAAAATCTTCCACATGTATCTGAGTATTTTTAGTCAGATGACACAGAATAGATATATGTCCTAATTAATATAATTTCTATAGATGATAGAATATGAATATTCTATTTTTTAGGAAATATTAATCTATCATATAATTTCAGTTACTTTTCCTCAGATATCATACTCTAATCTTTACAACTTGTTTTCTATTTAGAAGAAACATATTGTTTAAATAATAATGTCAGTTACCATATTACCATTCATACAAACTCAAATTACTCGCTATGGAATGTCTACTTTGATGATTCTAGGTAATATTGGAAATATTTTAACTGCAATTATATTTTATCAACGTCGTAAGAATTCATGTGCAATGTATTTATTATGTGCAGCTATTTTACATAGCGTAACACTTACATTCAATGGTGTAGTTAATGTTTATACATTGGATTATGGTGATCCAACAGCTCGATCACTTTTCTTATGCAAATTTCGTTTATATGTTACACATATATGGAATCAATCAGGTCGATATCTTACTGTACTTGCATGTATTGATAGATATATGTGGACAAAAGATGATGCTCGTACAAGATTTATGAATCGATCATCAACTTCTCATTATCTTGCAGCAATCATGTTTTTATTTTGGCATATTTTTCCTATTCATATAGCTGTTTTAGTAACAATTAGTGATGGAAGATGTGG